TGTCCAGGGCAGTCAGATAAGGAAGGACAAGGCACATGGCTGGGTGTGGGGCTCAGAATGGTCTGCTGAGCCTCCCAGGGACATTCAGCGACCTCGGCTTTTGTCTTTTGTGTCCTCAAGTCACTAACAGGACCCACTAATGTGGCAGAGACAGACCCCAGGGCCGTGGTTCCGTCAGGTAATCTGAGAGAACCAACAGCTCAGAGGGAGAGCCCTTAGTAAGGGGTCAGTGTCCACCCCACCCTCACCCCCTGCCCTTCCCTGTAGACAGAAGCCTACAGCCCAGCCCTGCTGGGCCTCCAGGGAAGCTTTGGGCGCCCCCAGCGCAGCCCTGCCCACCAGCCTCAGCCATTGCATTCCTGCAACCCTCTTTCCACTGCTCCTGCCAGCAGTCGACTTCAAGTCACAGCAACAGTCTCACTTTTTAAAAAAATCATGAAGTATTTCAAACATGCACAAAAGTACAGCAGTAAGTCCTGTGTGTACTTGCCACACAGACGTCACAAATGTTGACATTTTACTAGTGTTGCTTCAGCTTTTTTGTTTTAGAGAGAGAAATAAAACATGACAGGTCCGGCAGAAGCCCCACGCCATGTTTGGTTCTGTCTCTGTCTGTCTGGGGCGCTGGCCCCCGTGGGTGTCCAGAGCAAACACACCACCTTCCACTTGGTGAAGTTCAAATTGGTCAGTTTCCTCAATGTTCCCGTCACTCTCTTCTCTTATGGCAGCCTGGACTCTGATGGCCAGGGAGGTCTGGCGAGTTACTGAGAGCTGCTCAGAAATCAGGTATTTCCTCCCCTGGGGCCTTTATTCTGCAGAAAGCACAGGCAGCGGCCAGTGAGTGGCTTTAGTCTCCGTAAAATAGGTCAGAGATATTTGGAGAGAAACGTGAAATGCATAAAGCGGTGAGGTGATGAGAGGGGAGTTAAGAGGCACCGCAGGGAACAGAGGGTCAGGGTGCTCAGTTTATTCACCAGATGGGCCCCCTGTATTTCTCCAAATACAACTCCCATTTTATTGGTGGAAAAGTGCAGAAGGAAGGAGCAAAGGAGGTGGACAGGGAGCTGGGTGCAGGAAGGTGGGGAATGGGAGGGAGCAGGCTCTGGCCTGCAGGTCCCCTGGGCTGTGCAGGACTCCACTTCTCAGCCCCTGTCCCTTATCCCCTCACCCTCCCTCCATCCACTGCCCTCATCTGCTGGGAGCCAGGCAGGCTGGCTTTAGTGAAGCATATCTTGCTTTGCTTCTTGTTTGCTCCTTTCTGCACCTGGTGGGTGCTTAATTAACACTGAGGTATGTGGTGAGAATGGCCAGTTCCTTAGGAGACACAATAGAAAGATGGCTATCTGGGTTAAAGGAAGAAAGTGTCCTTGGAAACTGACCCCCTAAGGTCCCTCTGATCTTTAAGTCTCCAGTAGATGGTTAATGATCTGCTTTTGTATGAGGTAATGCATAGTTGTCCCTGCCGTTTGAAAGGACTCTGGATGCATATATTGGTGGTGGGAAATAAACTCAGGGCTTCAGTATTTACTGGAGTCCTCCCGGTAACTCTCTTCTCTGTCTCTTTTATTAATCCTCACTCCCCCACTCAGGACTGTTCGACATATCGACAGGTTCCGATACTCATCCTGTCACTCAGATCCTCAGCTGGGGACCCCAAGAGCCCACAGCGCGGTCCAGCCTCCATGGCCAGACACGCGAGAGCTGGCCTCAGCGGGGGGCAGAGATGAGTGGCCTGGAGACTGGGTCCCACTCACCATCTTCTTCCTCAGGCCCTGCTGGGGGTGGGCCCTCCTCGCCACCCTGCTTCGGCTCCTCTTCCTGCAAGACAAGGAGAGCCAGGGTCAGTGCCTGGGCACGACATGACAGTTTACTCTGGAATACTGTCCCTCGGGTGCCTGAACCTCAGTCAAAGCCATCTGACCCCTGGGCACACTCGCAGGAGTGGTGTCCCACAGCACTGTGGGGGCCAGAAGCGAGTGACCACCTCAGTGCGGTGGGGCAGCGGTGGGCAGAATGTTGGGAGAGAGGGGGGCCAGCCTGACCACACAGAGCACCGGCGCCCGTCCTCTGAGCGTGTCTGAGGGGAATGCAAGGGGGCCACAGACCACAGAGGGTAGGAACTGTATGACGTCAGCGCAGATACCCTTTGGCCAAGGAGATGGGAGGGGGCTCTGGGCCGAGGAACTGTGTTTTTCACCTTGCACCTCAGTCCCTTTTCCAGCTGGGTGCTCGTCAAAGCATTTGGATGCCATTTTGATAAGTGGCCTGGGGACTCCCACCCCTTCCCTGCAGTGAGTAGAACAGAAGGCACAAGAGGAAAGCTGGTGGGTTATCTGGGGCCCGGGGCCTGGGGCCGGGCTGGGCATCGGAGAAGCTGCCTTCGCAGTCTCAGGCACCGTCTGTGCTTCCTCTACCGGCATTTCTATCCCTAACCGTTTCAGTGCCCGTTTCCCCAAAATTGGAACTCCACCTCCTTCAGCCCGGTTCGCTCCCACACACAGACACAATTAACAGATGGTCAGAAGGGATGTCCTGGGATGGCCTTGGTGGAAGGAAGGAGTGATTTCAACTTGCAGGAATGTTGGAGGATGAGGATGAGCAACATGCTCCAGCGCTGAGGGGTTGAAGGGTGTGGCAAAGGGACCTCGGGTCCAAGGAACGGTGACTGAGCAGCCCAGTGAGCAAATATGGAAATCCCTGTAGGTTTAAGAGGGGAGACCAGGCACGAATGAGCTGACTCACCGTGGAGAAGGCAGCACAGCAGACAGCTCCAAACCCAGGCCTTTAGGACTCTGATTCTGGGGTCCAGCCAGTTTGCAGGCGGAGCACTGAGCATCAGGCAGGCGCCAAGCTAAACAGTGAGCTGAGCTGGGAGGCAAAGTTTGCACAAGCCCAGCAGCCAAATCTCAGAGGGCCTTGAGTCTCTTGGGATTTTCTGTGTCCTGGACCACACAAAATGCAGCCCAGGGGAACGGGGCAGGACACAGGAGCTGGCCCTTTTCCACTTCGCCTCAGTGCCATCCAACATGGGCGATGCTGCCTTGAGCGCTGGTCAGTACCTGGGGTTTTGGTGTCCAGGTGCCTCCCGAATTTTGCACACAGTGTCTTTGTGGCACAAAGGAGGCACACCTTTGACCCAGCAAACCCACTTCTAGGGATGTTCTGGACTAGAAAAGCATCTATCGGCATTTCTATATAATGATTCTGACTGTGTGTAGCAGGAAGCAAGACAAAACTGGAATCAGGTAGGGTTAAATATATTATAGTTAAGTATATTTGGTTAATACGTTCCCCAAAATATTAACGGGTTTAATATATGAGGTCGGACAATTAAGTTCGCAAACTTATCCGAGAAAAAGTGGTACACACCTCATTGCTGAATATCACTACAGTCACCTTGGAAGTACTCCCCTTGGGAAGCTATTCACCAATGCCAGTGCCTAGTCCACCCTTCAAAGCAATTTTGGAACTCTTTCTGGAATGGCCATCAGAGTTGTCATTGTATTACCCTTGATGTCCTGAATGTCATCAAAATGTCTTCCTTTCAACATTTACTTTGTCTTCGGGTAAAGAAAGAAGGCATTGGGGGCCAGATCAGATGAGTAGCGAGGGTGTTCCCATACAGTTATTTGTTCACTGGCTAAAAACTCCCTCACAGACAGTGCCGTGTGAGCTGGTGCATTGTTGTGATGCAAGAGCCATGAATTGTTGGTGAAAGGTTCAGGTCATCTAACTTTTTCACGCAGCCTTGTCAGCACTTCCAAATAGTAAACTTGGTTAACTGTTTGTCCAGTTAACTGTTTGTCCAGTTGGTACAAATTCATAATGAATCATCCCTCTGATATCAAAAAAGGTTATCAATAGCATTGCAACAAGTTCGTGAACTTAATTGTCAGACCTCGTATCACATTGCAAGTATACCATCCAACATTATTTTAGAAAGGAAGCAACCAGACGTAGTGATGTGAAGATGCATCAAGATAAATACCAAGAGGAAAAAGCAAGGAGCAGCCTAGTGTGAGGAGTGCAGTCTTGTTGGTGTAAATGTTAAAACAGAAGTGCACTCATGTGCTCATAAATGCAGAGAAGTTTTCTGCAAGGACACGAAAGATGCGGTTACCAGTGGCTACCTTTGGGGAGAGGAGCTGGGGGCAGCCCTTCATCTTCCACATTTCAGTATAATTTGGATTTTCTAAATATACTTAATTACTCATAACAATTTTTTAAAATGCTGTACAGTGGTTTCTGAAAAGTAAGATTGGGCTATTATATATTATATATATATATATAAAATACAGTAATACCTTGGTTTGCGAGCATAATTAGTTCCAGAAACAAACTACTCGTATTGCAAGACATCACTCGTTCACCAAGTTAAAATGTATTAGAAATGTTTGCTCATCTTGCAGAACACTCGCAAACCAAGTTACTCACAATCCAAGGTTTTACTGTATATTTCTCTTTCTTTGAAAAAAAAAAAAAGACAAACAGCCATTAACCTATTCAGGATTGGACTCCCGAAAATAGCTCAACACAGACTAGAGAGGTCAATTCTCCTATTATATTTGAGACACAAAGATTAAAAGAAAACTAACAAAACCAGCATAGTCCCTTGTCCTTAAGGAATTCATGGTCTGATGGGAAAGACAAACACAAATAACTGCCACTCAGGGTGAGAAATTCAAGAGCCATGGCAGACCCTGTCACCCCAAAGGGACATGGCTGTCAGTTGACCTGCCAACACCCTCCTGGGGAGAGGTTGGTCCACATTTGGATTTTGCACTTGACTTTTGGAGTGTGGTGCTTTTTAAACTGGTTGTGACCATTTGGTGAGTCATGAAAGCAATTTAGTGGCTGCGACTAGTATGTTAAAAAATGTGCAGCCAGTCTTAGTGTGGTTTTAAGCTTTAGTGACTTCAGAAACACAGATGCTACAAACATACCAAAAAATGACATTTGAAAGGTTAGTCATTTACATTTTAAATATATTGATGTTTCTTACATAATATGACCACCTAGTGCTGTACATGGCTCTAGTTGGTTTTCAGACTTTGAAAACGTGGGCTGATGGTCAGTGACTGAGGGGACTGACCTTCGTGATTTCAGTCCTAAGCAGACTTGCTGCACACGACAGTGTTTGGACATGGTGACCTCAAGGGAGGTCGACCAGATCTCCGAGGTGCCCATGGGCGAGGCCTCCTCTCTTTGCCCATCTGGCCAGATTCTGGCACAACACAAAGAATTAAAGTGAAAACTTAACATTCAAATGTCAGGAAGCTAAGAGTAAAAGACATTTAAATAAGTAAATATTCCACTGATGTGTTTTGTAGGTTTGTAGCATTTACACTTCTTAAGTTATTAAAACTTAAAACTGCACTAAGACTTTGGAGGGCATTCTGTATCCCAGAATTAAACATAAACAGTGTAGTGTGCGTGGTAGAAGTAGATAGCGTTTTTCTAAAACTTCTGCTGTGGTTCCGTGCCTTTATCTATGGGGATGCAAATTAAAATCAATTTTTCATTGTGAGACTTAATGAGGTTTAGCAAACACTGTAAATTGGCCACTGTTTTTTGTTTGCACAGAAACCCCCTTCTTTCAGCAGATGCCCTTTGAAGCCTGTGGTCCCCGTGGGAATTGTCAGTCAGGGCAGTCACACCCCACCCCCTCCACTCACCAGCATGTGGATGAGACCCAGAGGCCCAACTTCTGCATCAGGACAAAGGACCTCTGGCCCAGAGCTGTGAGCCTGGAAGCCCGGGTAGAGAGGCCCCCTGGCTCTGGTTGCCCCAGAGGCCATTCCACTCCTGCCTTCCCCTGTATGTGAGCCACTCAACTCCTGGTTCTGTGCATGCTCACCTGACCTGAGTTTCTGTCCCCAACAGCCAGAGAGCCCTGACCGCTGTCACTGTCCACTCACACCCCACTTTGCAAGCCCAGAACATCTCAAGTTCTCCTGGGTGTGTGTGTAGGGAGCGCGTTGCCTGCATTAAGTTCCAACTGCAAAGCCGGGGGTGGGGGTGGGGAGGGGTGGACACGGTGCAGCAGGCGGGGGTAGCAATGAAGTGTTTTTCAAACTCTGCTCCAGGGAGGCGCCCCAGGGCCTCACGTTTATCTGGGTTATTGGTGGGCTTTTAGATAACATCAAAATAATGGAAAGAATTTCATTATTTTTTCCAAAAAGTAAAACATCACTGTTTTACATTTTTGCCCTTATTTTATAAAACAGATGGAAAGTGGAAGTGGTGGCCGTTAGCCTTAGAGGAGTGCTCTCCACCTCAAGGAGGTGGACTTGTGCGCAGCCGTGAAGGAAAGGAATAAAGGAAAGCACGTACAGCATGCTAGAGCTGCGCAGTCGAAGCCTGAGTCTAGAAGAGCTGATGTTAGGAATTTTACACTCACAATGCCTGATCACATGTCCCATCTTCAGTTCTGCTTTGGCACACGCAGTTTTGCATGTATGTTTTCAGGAACACTTTGTGCATTTAAGTGACATGGGGTGGCCATAAGGAAGCGGGGCTCAGCTGAGCCTGAAGGGGGCAGAGAAAGCCTCAAAGGGGACAAGAATTCGAGCTGGGTGAGAGGAGAATGCCAGGCGTGGAACACCACGGCTTTCCCAGTGACTCTTTGGAGTCTGGTGTGATTGCAGGGAGGGGAGTGGTCAGGGCCTGGACCATTTAGATTTCTATAGGACAAGGCAACGAGGAGCTACCGGAAGGTTTTAAACGGGGAGAAGCAGGATGGGAGCTGCATTTTGGGGGGTCCGTGGGAGTGCACTGGCAAGGGGGAAGAGGACGAGACAGGAGGAACTGAGGAGAAA